CAGGCAGGAATCAAAATATGGGTTCTAACGGGAGACAAGATGGAGACCGCTATTAACATTGGCTACGCATGCAGGTAAAAGGCACCGCTTTTTTCTTACATATCTATTTTAAATGTTCGTATGGTATTTTTTCCACAGTTTACTGCGACCCGGCATGGATAAACTCATCGTAAGCCTGGGAGGATCGTCAGTGCAGGTTCTTGACGAGAAGCTGTCGCATGGAGGATTGTCCCCGGACGAAAGAGCGAGAAGAAGAAAAGATGTATGTGTTATGAAGCCTTTCTTGGGATCAATTAACTTGTGGCAACTTTACAGGAGCTGCAAAATTTGGTTCGTCAGCAACTCGACGACGGCCTGAGAGCCTTCGAGAGCAACATTGAGCTGGATGAACTTCCACGCGGGAACTCGTCAAGTCGTCATGAAGGAGGGTCTGGCAGGTTTGCTAATATCCTTCAAAGAGACAGCGGAGGTGTCTCAAGCTTTCGATCCTTTGGAAGCCAGAACCTACAGAGAACGATGTCGAGAGATAGAAGCAGCTACACAAAGATGGACGACGCTGTGAATGATGCCTATGCACTTGTTATCGATGGTGATTCACTGGCAGTCATACTGACGGGAGATTTGCAGAACTTATTCATGGAGCTAGCTACAAAATGCTCCTCGGTTATTTGTTGTAGAGTTTCACCCAAGCAGAAGGCATTCGTGGCGAAGCTGGTAATGAAGGGATTGGGTAAAGACAGGCTTTGCCTGGCTATAGGCGACGGGGCAAACGACGTGGGAATGATCCAGGTTGCCAACGTTGGTGTAGGGATTATTGGCGTCGAAGGTGCTCAGGTAAAAAACTCTCTTGTTTTCTCTAGGGGACTAAAACCTTTGTCTGTGTTTTGATTGCAGGCTGCTATGGCTGCCGATTTTACCATCGCAAAGTTCCGATTTTTGGAGAGACTACTCCTTGTACATGGTCATTGGTGTTATAGACGTATTTCGGTCATGGTAAGCTTCTCCGGTCGTAGAGTCTTTGCTGATACTCACACCCATGCATTTCGCCCTCCGCAGATTCGCTACTTTTTGTTCAAAGTCTGCCTCATAGGCTGGATTTCTGTCTACTCGAATATTTTCACGGTGTTTTCGGGCAATCCTCTCTACGACGACTGGTACGCATCCTTCTACAGCACGGTGTTCACCGCACTTCCTGTTGGAGCGGTGGGAACGACAGACCAGGACGTTTCCGCCGACGACTGCATAAGATACCCGCAGCTTTACCGAGCAGGCCAGAGGCAGCAGTACTTCAACACGAAGCTGGTGTTTCTATCTATCATCCACTCGGTCTACGCATCGCTCGTCATCTTCTTCTTCCCGGTGGCACTCTACTTGGTCTCGGCGTTCCGATCAAACGGGCAGCCAGCCGCGCTCCAGGACTTCGGAGCGGCACTCTTCACCGGACTGGTCCTGGTACCCAATCTCCAGCTCTTCACTTACGTGCACTACTTCACCTGGATCCACCACTTCCTGATCTGGGGCAGCATTCTCGTCTGGTTTCTCTTCCTCATCGTCTACGGCTCGCTATCGCCAGAGCTATCGACCGGGGCTTTCAGGGAGTTTGTGGAAGTCTTGGCACCGTCCCCGAGCTACTGGCTGCTACAACTCTTGGTGGTGGTGGTGGCGATCTTTCCAGATGTGATCGTCCGGAGCTTCCAGTGGCTGCTCAGGCCAGCGGACTACCAGATCGTGCTGGGCTTGGCGAAGTTTAAGAGTCAGACTACCACTACCACGCCGGCTCCAACACCGGCCTAGAGACGATTTTTGCTTTGCCTGTGATGGATCGATGTTCTTATCGTTTCCTGTGGTCGTGATGTTTTTCCAGGGGAAGTTTTCCTATGGTCTTTAAAAACTCGAGCTTAAAATTTGAATTTGAAAGTTAATTTTAAAAATTGAATTCCCCGCGCTCTCGTTTTAGGGTTCTTGGGAGATGGAGGTGATCCGGGGGCGGCAGCGCGTGACATTGGGCTGCGCGGTGCTGGATCAGGTCTTGGAAGGAGGATTTCCTTGCGGCGCCATCACGGAGCTCGTTGGGGAGAGCACTGCCGCCAAGACGCAGCTCGCGCTCCAGCTACTCGTCACGGTACAGTTGCCAGGGTCTCTCGGGGGATCGAATGGCTCGGCGATCTACATCCACACGGAGGGGTACTTTCCAGGTCGCCGGTTGCGGCAGCTCGCTAGCGCGTTCCAGAGTTCCAGGGGGCTAGGGTTTGATCCCTGCGACAATGTGTTCGTGGAAGCGGTTGGAACGATCCAAGAGCTGATTGCCCTCTTCGATCGCTTGGAGCAGCTCTTCGAGATGCAGCGGGAGATGCCGGTGAGGCTGCTTGTGATCGACTCCATAGCGGCATTGTTTCGCTCGGAATTCGAGAACAACAGAGCGGAGATGGTGGTCCGAGCTGCAACCCTCTTTCAGGTCTCCGCCAAGCTCAAGAGATTGGCTCACAGGTACGATGTGGCAGTCGTAGTAACGAACCAGGTGATGGATTGCATGGACGGATCCAGCGGCATCCAGATAGGAAATCTTGCGGAGCTTGTATCGTCTCGGAGAAGGGTGGCTCCAGCGTTGGGTTTAGCGTGGGGGCATTGCATCAACATCAGGATTTTTCTATCAAGGAGCCAGGAATTCCTGGAAGCTACAGCCAAGCGTCCAAAGCTGGACCACCAAGATGTGGCCGAAGTTTCGAAGAGTACAAAGAGGGAGTTACACGTTTTGTTCGCTCCACACTTACCTTACAGGTCGTGCGAGTTTGTCGTCAATCAAAGTGGCATTCACGGAGTACTCGACGATGACAGAGAAAATGCGTGATTCTTTATCTTTCTTGCGACGACACGGGTAAGCACTTCCAGTTAAACGCTTTCTATGTTCATCCTAACTTTGCAGTTTTACAGTGCTTGTTTTTTGCATGGCTGCTACGAAGGCTTGCAGATTCTTCGTACTTGAGCCTTCTCGTTTTAGAGCTTCCACGCATGCGGTGCTCAGCACCTCGACCTTTTTCCTCGGGACACTTTCGGCCAGCATAATCTTGCGTATCATTTCTTCTATATCTTTTGCAGTAGGCCCAATACTGGTGTTATACGCATGGTACCCGACTTGCCACCGATCCACTGCGAATAAGCAATTTAACTTCTGCTCTGCAAAACATGGCCATCCTAGAACTGGAACACCTGAAACTATAGCTTCCATCAGCGAGTTCCATCCACAGTGCGTCAGAAATGCAGCGATGGAGCTATGCTGCAAAACCTTCATCTGAGGAGCCCAGGTAACAAACATGCCCCGCTTGTTATGCTTGAACCTCTGCTGAAGAAACTCACTGTTTTCCTCTATCAGGTCCAAGCGAGCAACCCACAGGAATGCGTACTCACTTTGTTCCAAACCGTCGGCAAGCTCCTGAGTGTCGTTCAAAGAGAGAGTTGCCAGACTTCCAAAGGATATGTAGAGAACGGACTGAGGTGGCTGCTGGTCGAGCCAATTCATGCAGCCGAGTTCTTGCTCCCACACAGAGCGACTATACTCTTTTGAAGGTATGAATGGCCCAGCAGCCACAATGCTTGTAAACTTCTTATGAAGCTGATCAAATTGTTCCTTTTCAAGGTCGTCAAAGGAATTTACTAGTGCCCACGCGTCACTGTTGTCGATGGACATTCGGTGCCTGATATGGTCTTCATGGCCATCTAAGAACCTAGAAGGAAGGTAGTGTGCAGGAATCGGAGGGAGCCCGGGGATACCGTCTAAAGTTCCTCCTGAAAAGGTGAGAAAATATTATTCTGTTTTTTAGATTTCGCCTGCTAGTCATGCTTACCATCTTCCAGATTCTCTCGAAGGAAAGGAATGTAGCAGGATATCAACGCGAATGTTGCAGAAGACGTCCAGAAGCATGCTCGGCTGAACCCAAACTTTTGAGCAACATCTCGCGTCCAGTAGAAAAAGGCATCCGATATAATGCAAGTGATAGTCGGAGCTGACAGATCTCCCATAAGCTGCTCAACTATCTTCTCAACTTCGTCTCTCATCGACGTTGCGGCAGTGTCAAGAAACAGCTCCAGGTGGCTCAGCAACTTGGCTTGAGGTAGGCAGTCATCTGGGACACTTACAAATCTCAAGCTATCAGCTTCGCAGTTGGACTTCAGGATCTTATCGTGGTTGCTTCTCGTGTTGACGAAAGTAACGAGGACTCCCATGGAAGCAAGACGGTCGCTGAGGTGCAGCATCGGATTAATGTGGCCCTGTGCCGGGAATGGGACTACCAAAACATGAACATTCGAGACGGAAGCCATCGAGCAGAAACTTGGAGGTAAGCCTAAGTTTGAACTTTTATTTTTAGCTAAGGACATGCAGCGCAGATTTTACGTGGAGCTGATAGATAAATGTGGGAACTTGGCCGTGGCCGCCGACATTCACGAGCAAATCCAGCGCGCCCTTGTGGACAAAGAAGACGTCTTCTTCCATAACAAACTGGTTCACATGTATGGCAAGCTTGGAAGCGTGGGACACGCCCGACAGGTCTTCGACGCAATCAGAACGAAGAATCTCTTTTCTTGGATCGTCATGCTGACAGTCTACTCCCAGAACGGGTTCGTCGAGCACGCCAAAGCCATCTTCGACCAGATGCCGTTCGTCACCGTGGTTGCTTGGAACGCGCTGCTAGCGGCTTATGCCACAAACGGGTATCTCCGAGAGGCCAGGGAACTCTTTTCAACGATGCCAGAGCTCAGTATGGTTTCGTCAACGTGCATGCTGGGAGTTTTCTCCGAGATTCAGGACTTTTCCAGGTGCTGGGAAGTAATTCATGAGATGGAAGAGCGAGATATAGTCTCCTGGAATTCACTGCTATCGGCTTACGTCCGGAATGGGCTTTTGAAAGAGGCGAAGCAGGTATTCTCTTCAATGCCGGAGTGGGATTTAGTCTCATTCAACACTATGCTAGCCTCGAGCCTGGAAGACAGCAGCAGCAGTGGTTTGTCGGAGACACTAGAAGTCTTCACTACGATGCCCGAGCAGGATATAATCTCCTGGACAACTGTTCTTTCAGCTTATGCCCGTGAAGGTCGTCTCGAGGAGTCGAAAGCACACTTTGACAGGATGCCGCTTTGGAATCTCCCGTCCTCCAATGCAATGCTGGCCCTCTACTGCAACTGTGGCAAGTTTGACGACGCAGTGGGATTTTTCGCGTGTATGCCCGAGAAGGACTTGCTCTCATGGACGTCGATGCTCCTGGCATATGCTCGGAACGGGCATCTCGGGCGTGCGAGAGATTTCTTCTACAGCATGCCAGGCCGGGACGTGATCTCCCGGAACGCAATGCTGACGGCCTACATTCGCAATGGCGATATCAAGTCAGCCAAGAGGTTCTTTGACGCTCTTCCGGAAACGACCCCATCGTCGTGGAACTCCATGCTCGCCGCTTCCAACGCCAGCAGCGTTTTGCAGCTCGCCGGCGAGATCAGCCTCGCTCATGCTCCCGACGCAGAGAGCTTCGTCTCCATCCTCATCGCCGTGACGCACTTGGGCAAAGTTGACGAAGGCCGGCGCTACTTCATCTCCATGACGCTCGACTTTGGGATCCAACCGACGAAGCAACACTACCTCTGCATGGTCGACCTCCTGAGCCGAGCCGGGCATATCGAAAAGGCCCAAGATCTCGTCGCCAACATGCCTTTTTCGCATGGGACTTTGAAATGGAGATGCTTTCTCACGGCATCCAGGAGCACCTCTCCACGCATGCTCGCAGCTGCTAGAAGCATTCTTGAAACCGGAAAAGGTGGTGGAGCTGAGACATACGTGCTACTAGCAAATGCCGCGACGGTACCAAAGGCAAGGTAACGTTTTGTGTGAATTGTTCGCTTGATACAAAGTTTTCTAACTGGAGCTATGCCTTATGGTTCTTTTTCCGGAATGTCAGATAGTATTTGTTAGTGTACGAATCGCGGAAGAACGAGACCTCGTCCCCGTGACGCAGCCCATTATGATTGACGTAGCTGATCCATCCGGTGGTGAAGACATTGCCTTGGCTGCTACACCAGTGCGTGTACTTAAACTTCCAAGTTCTTCCACTCTCGTCCTCGAACGCAAGTATTACAAACCGGTTGCCATCCTCACCGCTGCTACTTCCTCTCGTCCTTGCCGCGGAAGGGGAGGCGGAGGGCTCTCCATTCCCGGCCATGACAAGCGGGAAGCAGCGCTCGGCGTCCTTCTTGGAGACGAGCAGCCGGTTGAGCTTGCTGGTGTCGCTCCTTGTGAGAACTTTGGTGAAGAGGTGCTCCCTGGTGCTCCTTGGATCCGGCCGCTGATCGCTGCTGGAGGAGCCGAGACACCCCCGCTTTGGAAGATTATCAAAGTCGTGGGGATCAGCTGGCGAGCGAGACCTTTTGCGTGTTGCTTTTGGAGGCGGTGGTGGCGGGGCTTCTTCTCCGACTCCCAGGCTCAGCCACCTCGAGCAATCCAGCTCTGCTTCGCTCGTCAAGTATTTGCTGCTTGGAAGCGAGAAGGCTGGCACCATTTCCATCCATTTGAGCAAATCTTTGGTCTGGAACTCCACTGCTGGCACTGGTAGTAGATTTGATGGCTGCTCGCCCTCTTGTTTATCTTCGTCTTTGTAATCCTGCTGCTGCAGCCACTGCTCTTCCAAATGTTCTTCACTCGCCATCCTCAAGATATAACACTGAAACTACTTTGGAATCTCATATCGAGAGTTTCCAAACAAGTTTGATCAAGCATATTACTTGCAGTATGTTCCTGTTATCTCCATTTTATCTCTCGAGGCTCTATTTCTAATGGTCAGCCGCTTATGGCTCTTCTTTCTGAGCGGGAATGGGAGGGAATATGCTTCAAATTTTCAACACGAAAGAATGCGGGTTTTACAGGATTTCATTTTCATTCTAGTAGCTTGTTGTAAGTTAGAACGCTCACAGCGGCGACCAGATGCCACGCGGCGTGGAGATACGGAGTCCGTGGATAGAGACCATCTGCGAGGAACAATGTGGCTCCGGCGAGCGAGGAAATGGTGTGGAGATTGTGAGCTGGCTTGAGAAGAGGCTGTGTTTGCACGCGCCTTGCGAAAGTGGCCTAGTCGAAAAAATCAGAATCGATCGATAAGTCGAGCTAGAAAACTTCGCACCTCGGTAAGTCCAGTGTGAAGAATGGTCACGAGGAATGGTTGAAACGGGGCGAGAGCTGCAGAGCAGACGAACAATCCTTTCCAGTTCTCGGATTGTAGAAGAGCTCTTGATAGACACTGAGAGATCCAAAAAACCTTGCCATGAGCAAAGATTGAGGAAAAGTTTACCAGAGCTGAGGTTGCGATCATGGTGTAGTCTCCGCGCCTTAGAAGTTGTCGAGATTTTCCTCTCGATGCGTGGTACAAGCTCGAGGCAACTCCAACACCGATCAAGGAATCGGCATAGAACTTGCTCACAGTCTTCTTTCTGCGAGCAAAGTGTTATGCTCTCAATACAATGGATGGAATTCATAGCTAACCTTGGCGCTTGCAATCCAACAAAGATGAAGGGTAACGAAGTCACGACGTTAGCAATTGTCTCGAGAAAGCAGTGATCATCTGCGTTAGTGGAGAAATCCAAGTTCTCGATCACGAAGGCTATTTCTAAAACTGACCGCGCTTATGTTTCGAAAGAGGACGTAACCAGCAAAGCCACACGCGCCTCACAGGCTGTGCTCGCGATTTCAGGCGCTCCATCGTCCTGTTCTTACACCCATTTCCATAAACCAGGGAAAGCTCTAGATGTTTCGATCCATTCACATACCATTCCTCGTCCTCGCTTGAAGCAACAGAGTGCTCGAGGCGAACACCACGGAGCCCTTCAAACACCATTCTCAGAGAAGAGAGGAGTGAAAACGATCACTCCACTATGACACCGTGAAAAAAAATGCAAACGTACCAAAGTGGAGCTCGCAGAAGCATATCCAAAGATCCGACTCCATGAAACGAATATTCAACCGCTGGAGATACGGATCTTCCACTATTCGTTGACTAATTGGTCTAGACCGGTCAAAGTACTAGTCTCGCCAGGGAAATGTAATGGCCGCTGTGGGTAGAGTCGATCTCTAGCAGCCCACGAGCCGCTCGCTCCCCCCTTGTCCAATCCCTGTGCCAGTTACAAGCGCTTAGAATCGAAGTAGTGGTCACTGGATTCACTGGAAATGGCATTGAAGCCAGGAGCTCCTCGGCCTCCTCCAAATGCCCAGCCCTCGCAAGAGCGTCCACCATCGCGCTGTAGTGCTCCCTCGATGGCCTCACGCCATGATCCGCCGCCATGGATTGGAATACCCGTGCCGCCTCCTCGATCATCCCCGCGCCGCCACACAGTGCCAATGCGCTTGTGAAGGCGATCTCGTTGGGGGCAATTCCTTCTTGCCCCAGTCGACGCCACAAGGTGATGCCCTCTTCAGCACGACCGTTTTGGGCATATCCACCCAGCATCGCCGCCCAAGAGAGCAGACACTTATGAGGAATGCCGTCAAAAGTTTCCTTTGCTCGCAGCAAATGCCCGGTTTGGGCATATGCAGTCACCATGGCGTTCCACGGCATAGAATCTCTCATGGGCATCTTCTGGAAGACCAACAGGGCCTCATTAATTTTCTTATTGGCCAATGCTAACGCAGCTATCATGACTGTCCAGCAGACGTTACTCCGGTGTGGTAGCCGGTCAAAAAGTGCCTTGGTCTCGTCAATGTGCCTGTTTTGAGCATATCCCGCCAGCATTGTGGCCGCTGAGAAGGCATCTTGCTGTGGCATCCTTTCAAACACGGTTTGGGATTCCTGGACTTGACCGGCCTGGAAATACGCTTGCAACAGTGCAGTCCACGACGTGATGTCTCTGGTCAAGGCCTGCCCGTAAAACACCTCTTTGAACGCTTCCAAGTCATTGTACTGGAGAAAACCATTCAACATCGTATTCCACATTACCCTGTCGTGCATTGGCGCTTTGTCAAACAGCAGCTTCCCAGGATCTATATGCCCTCTTTGGGCATACGCTGATAACATAGACGTCCAGGCGGCAACACTCCTTCCCTCCATTTTGAAGAACACTCCTTCTGCCTCCTCTGAATTTCCACAGTTAACGTAGCCTTGCAAGAGAGAGTGCCAAGTTGACGGATGCCACTGTGGCATTTTTCTGACTGTAGATTCAAGCTCAGCAAGGTACCCATTACGGGCATATCCTGCGGCCATGGATACCCAAGCTAATGTGTCTCTCTCCGGCAGTATCTCAAACCATCTTCTTGCTTCGTGAAGGCGTCCATCCTGCACGCACGCTACTGCTATTAAACTTACTACGCTGGAGCTCCAACAAGGTGACAGCTCAAGCGAAGATTTTGCATCATCCAGGCGAGAGTTCGAGCAGAATGCCCCGATCAACCCTGCCCAAGTTACCAGTGATCGATCACCCGGCATCGTGTCAAAAAGATGCTTTGCTTGGCCCAAATCCTCTCCTTTCTGCCCCACTGCAGCAATCATGGTGTTCCATGCAACAGAGTTGCGCTGCGGCATCTGAGAGAACACTTCCCGTGCGTGATCTATGCTTCCAAAGTCGCACACTGCTGCCAAGAGCGCGTTCCAGGAGACGCAGCTCCATTCCGGCATCAAACAGAAAATCGCCGTTGCTTCCTCCAGATGCCCTGCTTGGGCATATGCATGTAAGATAGAGTTCCAAGAAACTACGTCGTGTTCTGGGCTCTGAGAGAAGAATGTCAATGCCTCATCAACCGCTCCGCCCTTGACCACCCCTGCCAGAATCGAGTTGAACGTCACAACATCTACCATAGGCATCCTCTGGAAGATGATATGCGCTTCTTCGATATGCCCTGCTTGCGTATACGCTCCAACCATGGTGTTGCAGACCACGACATTGAGCGTGGGCATCGAATCGAAAACGGCCTTTGCCTCTGCAGTGGATCCAATCTGCGCAAACCCGAGGAGCAAAATACTGCATGAAACGAAGTCCCTGTCAGCCATAGAAGCAAAGACCGCCGACGCCGCTTCCAGATCCCCGCATTTGGCATAAAGCTGGAGGATGATCTTGGCGAGGTATTTGCTGCCACCGAAGTTCTCTCGCAAGATCTGGGCATGGAGACGCCGCCCTTGGAGCAGATCCCTGGACCTGATGCACTCATAGAGGAGGCGAGCCAATTCCGCAATCCCAGGGCTTCGAGCACAGAATATACTCGACTGTTTCAGCATATGCTCTCAAGCGGGCTTGCTTGGGAATCTGATGTACACGTGGGACTTGTTTGCTTGTGCGTGGCTTCAATTTGTAAACTATGGATTCTCATCTGCATGCGCAGCGACATTCTTAGCATACGCGCGTATGGTTAAGAGTGTCAATTACTTACTCGACAATACTTAACGGTAGACCCTAAGTAAAAAATTAGCTTGTCTTTGCTGTGTCGATCCCGCCAAAGAGATTCGTCACCCGCGTTTATTAACGCGGGGCATTACATAGTATGTATCCCTGTTTTTGTTTGACAAGCGTCGGCTGGCTAGGTGACATATGAACAGAAAAAGAAAAAGAGAAGAAAAACAAAGAAAACGTATTTTCACATATGGAATCAGTATACTATACAGTATGATTATTTTCGAAAAAGCGTTGCAGCATTTGGACTGCGATATCTGAACCAACCAACCAATGTAACTTTGGAGCAGACTGCCGGTAAAATTCGCGTGCCCGTGGCTTGCCCTAAGAAAAAAAAGGCTGGTCTGGCCAACCACAGGAGCATCTTCCAAATCGTACCAGGTCTCAATTCAATTCAGCTGCTGCTGAAAGGACTGCCCAGGACTTTACTGTCACGATCGCAAGAGAAAGAAAAGATTGAAAATAAAACAACGCAGTATTATTATTTCTATTTAATATTATTCTAAATATTATTCTGTTTATCTCTTTATCTCAAATTCCAGAAAAAAAATAAAAAAAGATTCAATCAGGAAAAATCTATGCATCCTAGAGGCGAGAAGAGAAAAAAGAGCATATCTTTACTCTAGCTCTAGGATTGGCATCGCAGAAAATCAGATACAATGACGACCATCTCGCTCTGCTCTGCTCTCTCTCTCTCGCAATCGGCGACCGCGACCCCGAGAGAGGCCTGGAATCCAGAAACTTAAAACACGCTCACGGAACGAGAGGACAAGATCAAGCAGCAGTGGGGCGAGGATCTGGGTGGTCACGACCCGAAACAAACAAGATTGCTTGCGATGAATTGGATTCACGAGAAACGGGATGGGGGGTTGGGATTTGTTCGCTCGCTCCATCCAAATGCCACCAAGCGGCACCTAGAAAACGACTGACTCTGCAAAGAACCGACCAAACAACCAACGCAATGAAAATGAGAAAAACAAGATGCCCATTTGAGGCAACATGTTCTCTAAACGCAAACGCTTACCAAACAAACCACAAATTTGTTGATCTGGTATGAGCGTAAAACAAAACTGGTAGCTAGCTACGTAAGGTAACCAGAGCCTCCGTTTGCAGTCTCCCTATAGCTATAGGCTAAAAGTATGGATGAAAAACGAGGAACGCGAGGAGAAAGAGCGAAGACAAACTTCCGGGAGGGAGATGAGATCTTCTCCTCTTTGTTCTTGGGCCGGGAGGGAACAATCTCTGATCGGGGGTGTTAAGTTGAGCTCCAATTCCCCCCTTCTTCGCTCCTTGCTACCAATTCTGAAACCCCGGTGCTGTGCTAGCGCTACGCCGGTAACCATGTACACGAACCTCACGATCTCGATGGCTGGATGATCTTCGACGCGGTGGAAGAGCCTCGTCGACTTCCACTGCCGCTGCTCGGAGGCCCTCCTTGATCCGCCTAAGTTGATCACAGCACCCACCTTTGCTGCTACCTTTGCTGCTGCTATTCTCTGTACAACAAAACCTCCATGCCTGGCGAGGGGCTGCGCCCGGCGCCGCCGCGGGCTTGAAGCTCGGATCCGGGGTGGCGAGCGGAACCACCTTGCTGCTGCCACGGATCCTCTCGTGCGGCGACGACAGCCACTTCGCGAACATGTACTCGATCGTCCGCCACGGCGGGAGATGCATCGAGTTCTGCGTCAGCGATTGCTTGGCTGCCTCGGACATGATCTCCAGCACCCGGTGGAGCTTCTTGACGCTGCCCACGAACACCACCGGGAGGAGCTTGAGCGCTGCGCGGTAGCTCGGGGTCGGCCGGGCGATCTCAAACTGGGACTGGAAATCCAGGTCGAGGATCAGGCGGCGATCTTCGGCCTGGCCCCCGCTGTCGAATACAACGTCAACGTATTCGTAGTCACCTGGACAAAACCACCCAACGATCAGAGGCCCCCCACCACGAAGAAATAAGAAAAGTTCTTCGAAGAGACATGGTGCCTATGATCAATCTGTCTAGGATGGCAGTGAAGATCCATGATGATGGCAAGAACAGTGGAAGTGCTGAGGGAAAGGCAAACATCTCTGGGTGGATCTGCCTTACCTCCTGGCACGTTGCCCGAAATTGGCCACCGCAATTTGCAAATGGCTGCGTCGTAGCCTTGCGACTTGAGGTGCTTGGCCACCAGCTGACGAACGCAAGCGCCTTTGCAATCGCTGCCTGGATCGCCGTAGCAAGCCATGCCCTCCTCGGACATCGCCAGCAGCACGGCCGAGACCTTGGCCACCAATTCGACCTCCACGCCCGACTTGCTCGATCCCAACACCTGCATTGCGGGATTGATGGAAGCGTGAGGAGAGGAAAATCGCTAGAGAAGAGGGCATCTATCGGCAAGCGAGAGAACACAAACCTTCAAGCTGTCGCACAGGCTTCCCGGTGGCGCGCCATCGGCGCCGTCGCCGTCGCCCTCGTCGCGGTCGCGGCTACCGTCCTCGATGAACTCGTGAACCATCGCCGCGAGATCGTGATCGCCTTCGCCGTTGCTGTTAGCAACGCATTGGTCCCCGGCTCCCCCGGACGAGCGCGACGACGAAATATTGGTCTTGGATTGATCGCCATTCTCGAGCTCCTTGAAGCTGTGGATCCAAGAAGCCTGCGAGAGAGACGGCCGACACGCCTTGTGCTTGCCCCCGGGGGTGAGAGGGGAAAGCGGAGGCTCTAGGCTCAAATCCTTGTCGATGGAGCGCGAATGGAGCAGATCAGAGAGCGTAGGAGGATCGATCTCGATCCTCCGCGGCCCCTGGAAGAGGAGGCCGGGCATCCTGGATGGGGTTTGGCTCGGAATCGTGACGGGCAGCAAGAGCCAGCAGCACAGGGAGAGGGGGAGGAAATTGGGAGTGACACGACCGGAGGAAATTTCGGCTGCCGGGAGGGAGAATGCATCAGAAGCAAGAGCAATCGCCAGGAAATCGCAAGAATGGAGGAGAAATCACAAGAATGAAGAACAACCCTGCCAGAGAGGGACGATCAAAGCCGCGGCAAACCGGATGCGCGAATGAAGACGCTGTCGCAGGAGAGCCCGATCGCCGTCGAAGAGAATCAAGCCGCCATAGCCAGCGCCTTCTGCTCGCCGCGGCCCCCCTCCCTCTTCAATCGAGACCCCAAAGACAAGGCATTAAAAAATCCGACGGGTAAATTAACTCTTTCACCACAGGGAACCGCTTTTACCTTTTACCGCCCGCCCCAGCCCCTCCGTACGCAGGCGACGCGGAATATCCCATTCGTACGGACGCCATCAAAGTCAATAACCCCTTTATCCTTCTTCCAAGCGAACCGAGAAAAGAGAGAAGGGGATTTGGATGGATGAATCGATCGCGTGTATGGAACACCCTTCGCCTATAATACCTGGAAACCATTTGGGCCTTTGATTTTCTTCCAGACGAATGGTATTTTGCGCGGGGGCCTCTTCTTTGTCGCGGCCTGTACGTAAGAGTGTGGAGTTTCTAAGTCTTTGCTCCATGTCGTCACCCAGCATTATTTTTGGCCTTGTTTAACTTGGCGCTGTGCCGCTCGCTCGCTTTCGCTGTGCTAAGCTTTGGCGATGATCCCCAAGTGCTTTGTGCTGTGGGGACCTCTTTGGCGAGCGTACCACTCCTGTCCATATTAAAAACACACACTCCCTCCCTCCCTTCCATCCCACTTGGACACTAAACAACGCGTGCTCGGCCATGGATGGATGGAGTTTTCGCGGTTGTTGGCTACATTCGCTTTGGACCCGGGCAAGCAATCAAGCAAGCGCAAAAAAAAAAAACGAAAAAGAAAAAAGAAAACCGGAAAAAAAAAAAACAAGGAAAGATCAATGCGTTTGAGCACAGAGGAAGATCACAGCGCTTGGGGATTAGGAAAAGGCAAAGTGGGGGGAGGGGCGGCCATGATATTGTCAAGTTGATGATGTCGAAAGAATGGAAAGCAAGGATGATGGGCGACCGAAACGGGGTTTCTTCTGTAGCGAAGGAAACGAACGCTCGTGTTTATGCACTTTCATGTTTAGGCGCTCTTTATCTTTTTCTGAATCGCGCCGGGGACCACGAAGGAGACTGACAAAGGTTTCTAGTAGATGCTCCGGAATGAGTGAAAGCAGGAACAAGGTATGATAAGCAGTAATGCAATGGATGATGTCTCCCTCTCAAGTTAGTACCGAAAGATAAAGATAAAGATAAAGATAAACTCACAGAAGAGCCACACCTTACATGAGAAGAGCCCAAGCTCTTATGGTGGATGAATAGAATAGCCTCCTCCCTCTCAGAGCATCTCTGTTGTCAAAAGAACGATGGCCACTTTGGCTGATGTTGAGATAAGCTGGAAAAGAAAACCTTTGAGATGCGCTTTGAAACATGAAAAGCAAAAGAGGGGAGAAGGAAAAAAACGGAAGCCAAAACGTCTACCTGACCCCGCGGTGCTCACAGGAACGGGGGTAAAATCACCCAGCGCCTCGGGTACTTGGCTCGCCCTTCTTTTCCGTCAAACAGCTGCGAAAGAGAAGCGCAAAAGTCGTGAAAAGATGAGCAACACTACCAGAAGATGCAAAACCTTCTTCAGCCGCCTGTGCTTGGCAAGGGCCCAGTTGGTCATGATGAACGTCGCAGCGAAAAGAAAGCTATAGCCAGCCACCGTCTGCGTCGCAATGTTGAAGCCAAGCCACTGGTAGATCTCGGTCGTGTAGTTCCCGCAGGTGACGAAGTTAAACACGAAGCCATAGGGGATAACGTAGCCACCTTTGCCCTCGGCCGGGCGAAGCCCCCGGAGGATGATATGCGTGACCAAGTTCGCGGCCTGGAAGACGAGCCCGATACCGAAGCCGAGATACATCTGCTTGTCCGGGACAGGCGTGTAGAGCGGATGATTGACGAAGTAAGCGATGAAGGCACCGAAGAGCCAGTAGTAAGCACAGTTCCTGTAAACGTTGCTCAGCGGAGAGGTGGCGTGGCTAAACCGGTGGACGAAGAAAGTCTCGAGGATTCGCTTGGAGTAGTGCAGTGTCCAGTACCACATCGCATACTTTTGCACGGGGTGCGTCACGGTCCGTGCCGGGAGCGAGAAAAGCAGCGAATATATGCCCGGAAAGAAGTAAAAGAGCGGATATATCACCAGTGGGCCGAGGTACTCGAAGAAGAACAAGGTCCGATACGAGACTTGGGGTCCCAGATCCTTGAAAACCACCTCTCCACCATCGCTGCTTTCGAAGTATTCCTTGAGGCTTTTGCCGTGTTCTAGTACCGTGGGACGAGCTTGGCCGGTCCTTAGAGGTAAAGTAAGGCGTTGCCTCGAGGCATAGTACTTTGGAACTACGAAAAAAAGGTTTGAAGGAAATCAGTGTGTCTGAGAAAGGGAGAGAGTGGTCAAATACTCACCGCGCTTGGAGATCGCCCGCTTGAGATCATCCACTGACGCCTGGGGAAGAAATGCCGTGAGAGGGACGAGAAAATCGGACATGGACAGTGGAAAACCTCCACCCCTCCGGTAGATCTTGGTCCGGAGATGATTCTTACCTCGTTTGGGAGCTCAATGCCGCCCTTGACGACCTCCCGCCCGCTGCGCGACACCACAATCACCTTCATGGCGAGAGAGGAGGATGAAGAACCCTAAAAGAATAGAGGCCGTTGGATTATCACTGTGAGGCGGGTGTTGATCGACGGTGGATTTACACTGGCAATGAATGCGCCGATTGAATGTACATTTCTTTTTTGTTTCTTGTTAGCCTTGTTAAGAGACGAACGCTCTTGTCGCGGTGGCTAAAGCGAAAACTTCGTTTGTTCTTGGGCAAGTCACGAGACCATTGTTTTGATCGGACATGGTTTGCAATGCCTGGAAGAATAAGAAAAAAAAGAATAAGAAAGTATTGAGAGATCTGGATCGAGAAACAAAACCTTTGTGCTGTAAACGTATCCATTCGGTAAAACCATTGGAGGATTGTCCTCGTCCATAAGCTCCTTCGTGATGTAACAGATGAGCCTCGAGCGTACGTGCTTCATGAACGGAAGTGGCTCCGCGAGTTTCCTGATCGCTTCATGCGAGAAAGGATCGTCCTTCAAACACGTTTCTTCGTAGCACAGCCTAGAGAACGATAAGAGAAGGAAATGAGAACAGGCAAGGCGACAAGAAACTAAAGCTTACGGTGTTTTGAGAGCTGAAAGACCGGCCTGGATGTAAATGTGTAGCAAGGACGGAGAAGTCATTCCGTGCATCTTGCAGAACTCGTCCTTGAAGAGCTGAATTAGTTTCTCCCATTGGTTGTCATCGAATAAAGTCTGGCAATACAAAGCACGAAAAGGTGTTTTGAGGAAGCAAAACAGAAAGAAAAAAAAAAAAAACTCACCTTGTAAAAGACACACTCTGTTGTTTGCTTCAGTACTAGAGTTGTCATGGCCTCTTGCAAGTGTTGCATATCAACAGCAGCAAGCTGCGAGAGAAACTTGCGAGCGTATAACACAGCGTCAAATGCCTTCTCCGCTCGAACGAGTTCTATGAACTCCTGAATCCTCAGCTTAAATTCGAATACACTCTAGAAATTCAGACGAGAAAATTAGAACGAATCGATCGTGCAAAAAGATTACCAGCGTCTTCTTTAGCTTTCCCTTGTTCTCCGAGCACCAGTTAAGTGCATACGTGCAGCTCTTGCTCTTCAGTCCCTCGATAATCTGCTGGGCTTCAGCAAAAAGGCCAAGGTCTGCAAGATCCTGGATTCGAAGGATCACTACTTTGATCATAGTGAAGAGAGAAAACAAACATTTCCAGAGCAATACCTGAATGGACGAATGCTCGACGAGTTTAGTCGCGGTGTTAATGTAAGACGAACGCAAGAGGTAGTCCACGAGAATTCTGTCAAGCTTTGTTTTCTTCCACTTTGGATCCTTGCAAAAGTCACTCAAGTGATCCAACCTCGCTCGAGATCTTTGGAGATTTTGTTCTTCCGCATCGTGCATTTCCCGGAGCTGCCAAAGGAAGACGTATCTTCGAAAAGGAGACTAAAAAACCGCCACTACCTTTCTCTTCAATCCACTCAAGCGATTCACGCACGAATCCAGCTGCTTGATCGCGGCGTCTCGCGACACCTCCTTCTTGCCGGCCTCGGCAACAGCGCCAGTGATGCCATTCACCTCCTTCTCTACTGCGCGAATGCCCTGCCGTACAGACCTCTTGAGAACTTCGTAAGGCACCCGGACGAGCTGGTGCTCGAGCTTGATCGTTTCCACGCAGCGATGGCACGTCGATGCCGCTGAATCGAGGGCCGGACCAGCTGGGGCGCCTTCCTCATTCATTCCCAACAGAAGAACCCTAAAAAACAAGAGCCCTAAAAACAAGCGCCCAAACTTCTATCATAACTATAATACAAAACTTTCTTTCTAACTTTGTCAAACCATCTGGAGTTTCTTCTCGAGGCCCAACGCCGTCTTGTACGCTGGCGCGATTGGAGGCTGCACGGGAGCTAAGCTTTGATAATCCTCGCTGGGCAAAGGATACGATTGATCGGCGTCATAGCCACTCAAATCTCCACACGCCAGGAATGGTACCATGATTTTGTTTGGTCCTTCGAGCCAAGCGCTGGAACAGTCTGCACGAGGAACAAGCCGTGAGAAACGTAATTATCTAGAACACTGTCGTAGAGACGAAGCAACTGGAAGCATCAGAAATGCACAGTGGATTGATCATCACATAGAGATCATGAAGGGGAATCCGTGATTTCATCACGCGCAAAATACCATGGCATCAGAAACTGGAATGTTTCATCACTCAAGTCATGAAGGGGAATCCAGTACTCATCATTTGCTTGCAAGCCTGCTTTGGAGTGTCGAAAAAAAGGAAAAGAATCTTACCGAGTTCCGGGTATGCTCCGCTAGCTTGCTCCAAGATATCATACAAGTTCCGTGGCTCGAAGCCTTCCGGAGGTTGATAGTCTTCGCAAACAACGAAAGCTTCTGTAAAGCGATAGCATCGTGAGGGATCGGAGTAGAAAATCATGACAAGGATTTACCTATGCTCGAGTTTCGGCTGCTCTTTGGTTTCGTACAAGTCACAGTCGTGAAAAACATTTTCAGCTGGCACAAACCATGTTTACGATAAGCGTACAACCATTAAAACGCTATTACCTGAGCGTACAACAGGCTGATATCTTTCCCCCGGAAAACCTTTGCGACAAACTTCGCGCCTGGCCGAAGAACGTGTGTTACAATTGTTAGCGCCTGCATCGAAACGATGGTCACTCCACTGTGCTTTACAAGCTAGAAAACTGTTACCGCTAGGATAAGCTGCGCCTGGACGAACTCGTCCATGTCGTGGAGTCCCGTCACTGTAAGTTCAACATTTTAGACCAAAAGCAATTGTTTTGGGACCATCTCACCATCCGGGGCACCGTCACAGACAACTAAGTCGGCTTGGCAACCATGGAAATGCTGAATAACCTACGAGGACAAAAAAACCACGGAAAAAAATTAAAAAAAAGCTTCAAACATTACATAATACTTGAGATTCTACTAACCAACTCGGCAGTTCGTGCACTAGTGATGTCTCCTTGAATTTGAACGACACCATCAATAGGGGCCATTGGCTGCAGATCAATAGCCACAATAAGAGGTCGGTCATCCTGCCTAGAAGAACACAGTGATAAATCTTTTTCCTCACAAAGAAAGGAGAGAAAAAGGAAGGCAAAGCTCTTACTTATCGCTCTTTGAAGGAACGTAGAGCTGCCTGCTTAGAACCTGTGAATGTCGCTACCAGTTGTACATGAAAATCCAAAACTCCATACCTGGCTCCAGCTTCCAGGAGCCGCGCACAGATCAACAACGCGCTTCACACCTACATTGTCAAATCCATAAGGACCCCAAAATCGCCAATAGACAAAACCCACCCTGCAGGATTCCAAATTCTTCGTCAATCTGGAGCAGCTTGAAGGCGCTGCGAGCGCGCCATCCTTCTTCCTTGGCCTTCCGATAGTAGATGTCCTGCGCGGCAGCAAAAATGCTTATGGGCAAGAACAGGACCGCGAGACCCACCCGTTTGTCCTTGGAAGATTTCCCCATCGCCGCCTTTTAGGGTTCTAGCCGCCGCCACGTTAAAAACGCGTACGAATTAAAGTTAATCTTGCTTAATCATTTCCAGTTTTACGTTGTCTTGAAAACAAGATTGCTCCGTGACCTTTGTCCTTCCAGGTCAGTGACCTAAAAGCCGCACTTCTTATCTTCTTTCTCACAGGATCAGCATCCAAGAAGTCTTTACTTGACCAATGTGGTCAAACTTCAATTCTCTCGGCTTGACCATCAAATTGACTCCCTCTTGCTCTTCAACACTCACGGTGTACACAAACGTATTGTGCCCAACATTCGTAAACTTCTTCCCAGAGAAATCAGCAAGACCAATTGATGGATAGTTGAGCTGGATTGCTTGAACAATCTCCAAACCTTCATGGCAGAACTTTCTTCTTTGGGCACAACTTTCTGGCCAGAAAATAGCCCAAACACAAGTCCAACGTAGTCTGACACGTTTAGATCGTAGACAAGCTGCAACATTGGGATTAACATGTCCACCTCCATAACCAAATGGTTTTCCATCGTAAGCCCACCAGCTACAAAACCTGTATAATTCTAAGCCATTAGATCCAACAATGCAGAATTTCATAGTCAATCCTACCAGTTGTAACCTGATAGCTCTAGGACACCACTCAGGATGATCAACTTTTAGCAATGCAACAATCCCAGAGACAAGAGGGAGTTCCAGACATTGTCTGGAACCTATTCCTTGCGGGTGCTGCAGCTATAATAAATGTTCCCGCCGCATCAGGCTGAAAAAGATGCCTAGAGCATGAGAAATTCACGGATTAAATCTTTACCTTGATGATGGCAGGGTTTGAAATACTAGGGCCACGGGATGAGTAGTTTGCCATGGTGGGACTATGCTTTTAAAATGTTCATAGGCCCCTGATAGGTAGTTTCACTAAAGTTCAAACAAAAAAAGCGTCAACTTATACCTAACGATGCTATTGAGGCAAATAGAAAATATACCATGAAAAGTTGTGCAGAGTTGCATAAAACCTCGTCATTTCTGCCTCTGATAAATAAATTGTGGGTAAACCCTATGGCTTGGGGACGTATACCAAGATAAACCATGCCTACACCAACTGCATGTAACACCACTTGGCCTGGGAATGGATAGTCCCCTTTGAGACATCCAACAATTTTGCTTTTGGTTTTGACAGGATCCATGCAAACATAGCGCGCTGTCATACCAAAAGCATGAGCCTTGCAGCTTAAGAAAAATGCTCCTAAAGGAACACACCTTGTGGCAGGATCAACGCCATCGTATCCTAGTTTGGATCCAAGGGCCACCGGTTACCACCCTCCAGTAGAATTCTTGTTTAAGCTCGCTCCCTCGGATCAAAACAAAAGTTTGCTGGGTGATCTTGTCTGAAAAAGTACTTGCCTTAGAGGTAGCTCACAAATTCACGATCTAAATTGGTAGCTAGTGTTTGTAACGGACATATTCAATCCCTTATTTCCAGCAGCAGCCACCACCGCAATTCCCTTTGCAACTGCTGCAAGGCCAGCCATAGCAACACTATCATGTATGTAAGAAAGGTAATCAGCCACCAGGGACATTGAAATAATATCAACGCCATCGTCACTATCGAATCCAGCCACAATATCAGCGATATTTGGTGCACCTCCAGAAGCTGTGCCATTCCCAAGTCCCAAAAAGTTGGCATTTCTAACAAAGGTCCCCGCGGCAATTGAAACAGTGTGAGTTCCATGATCTCCGCTATCTCTAGCAGAGAGAAAACCATAGCCTCTCATAGTGGTGTGCAATCCCTGGTAAAAATACTTTGCTCCAATAATTTTCCTGTAAATTAACATTGCTTTGGGTATTTTTGATATATTATACGTACTTGTTGCAATGTGATGTGCTGAAAGCTTCTCCTTCTATACAATCCCCTTACATGCCGTCGTCCCTAAAACTCTCGGATTCAGGCCATCTATTATTCTGCTGAGTTGGTCCAAACAATCAATCGTCTACAGTTACAAACACTACAATGGATTGTCTGCTCGGATGACAGCTGGCCAAGCTGAGACGATGTCAAGTAAGAATTTTTCTAGCTGTTCTAGATTCTATCTTTGGAACTTTAGAGCTCCCCGGAGCTGTATCGGTTCAACCCAGAAAGGCAAAATTGCTGACAACGAGAAGATGGGATTTTGTGGGATTGAATAGACAAAATAGAATGGATTCCCTATTTGGTTCATTTTCTGAAGGTATACAAAAATTAGGCATACTGGAACCTTTTTAAGTAGGTAACCATTGATTCTGAGACGATCTCAATTTACTTTAATCAAACTTTTTATAATAAAAAGCAAAGTGACATTTGCCTATCGACTGTGACAAAGATACTGATGACACGTGGAAAAACTTCACCAAATAACACACAAACTAATCAATCCACGTAGCGGCAATTCTTCCGCTACGAAACAATCTCCCTCATCGTTTTCCAGCTAGACGATCTCTCCCGGAAGAGAAGAATTTTCCCCGTGGGATTGATCGATCGATATCTCCCTCTTCCTCTCCTCTTTTGACACGATCCAGCATCCAGCAAGAATAAGACATCCAATCGATCCTTCGTCGATTCAAGGTCAAGGTCGTGAAGTATGTAACCACGAGCACCGGATCTTGATTTACCTCGATCTGGAACAGCGGCGATTGCCCAAGCGATGTCTCTTGAGTTCGGAAGAAGGATCGACCATCCAAGACGCGATTGGGCGATGGTGGATTGGTTCCTGGAAAGCGAAGAATTGTCGTCCCTCCTCCGGTCGGCCCCTCGACGTTCTTCAGCTCCAAGCAGTTCGAGATCTTCGACGTGGAACTCGTCCAGGTGAAGGATTATGTGAGATGAAAATACGAATTTTCGTTCATGATCGATCTCACTTGTCTCATGTGTGATGTTCCTGGCTTCGTGAGGCTTGCTGCGGTGATTGTGCGAGCTCGGAAATAATAGAAGCATTCCAAAAACCACTCTGGTCTCGTAAATCCTTCTGCACTTCCCATACACATCGATTAAAACATTAGGAGGCGCTCATTATAGCATATGCCACATATGGGCATCTAGATATGGTAAGAGAGTTTCTCTAAGAAAAACGCCAAAGCGTGCAGCCACAAAGCCTGGTGGACCAGGTACAAATATGATACGACAAGACGCTCTAGAAAAATATTGTGTCGTGGACTACTATGCTCGCGGAAGATGCCGTGTCAGGGCATCTAGACGAGGTAAGGCGAGAGCATGCTTTCATTATATCTGTGCATGGCATGTTCGTCATTGTTACTTTTGAGAAAATGCCTGTCCACGACAAAGTTCCATGCCCGAATTGTCCAAGCTTGAGGAGGCCCTGGATGTTTAATCGGGATGGAATTCGATCATCCAGAGAACGCTGGAGCTCGTTGGCTCAATGCTCCTTGAGGAGTTAACCACAGCGTGTTTGCAAGCAGTGAGCACGCTCACGTAGGTGATGTCGTGCGGCTTCACTTCAACACTTTGGGATCATGGTCAATGCTCATGGACTGATTCATTGCGTGGACTTTGTTGGGGACTTTGTCCGACCTCCTTGTACGGCTCGAACGCAACCGCTGACCTGGGGTGGTGACAAGGAGCTCGGGCGCGACAGCAGTGCTATCTCGGAAGCGCCGCAAGCTCCGTATCGCGGGAAAGTCAAATCTTTTGAAGGTGGATTGCTTGGAGCTCATCCAGACATGCCGGACCCTCTCTTTTGCTCGAGAGATCCATGCCGGGATTCGTCCCAACGACGTGTTTCTCAACAACAAGATGATCGATCTTTACGGCAGGTTTGGCAGCGTCCAGGATGCGCAAAGAACTTTCGATGCCATGGTCTCTCCAAACGCCTTTTCCTGGTTTTTGATCCTCAACGTGTACGCGAAGAATGGATACCTCCGCGACGCCAAGCATATCTTTGACGAGATGCCGCAAAGAGATTTGATCGCCTGGACTACCATGCTTGCAGCATATGCCAAAGAAGGTCATCTTGAGGCAGCAAAGCACATGTTTGGATCGATGCCTCAGAGGGATCTCGTGTCATGGAACACTATCATATCCGCGTTTGCACAAAACGGCGATATCCAACAAGCAAGATCTTCTTTCGAAAACGCGCCGTTAAGAAACTTGATAACTTGGACGTCAATGTTAGCAGCATACGCCCAGAATGGGCACTTGGAGCACGCCGAGCATATCTTTTTCTCAATGCCAGAGAGAGATCTCGTGGCTTGGACAACAATGCTGGTAACTTACGGTAACAGTGGTCATGTAGAAGACGCTTTTAGAATATTTAGTCGTATGCCTGTGAGGAACGTAGTTGCATGGGCTTCTATGCTCGCTGCATATACCCAAAACGGCCTCCTTGAGAGAGCTAGGAACTTGTTTGGCAAAATGCCCGAAAGAGATCTAGTATCATGGACGTGTATGCTCGCTGCCTTTGCGCAAAATCGAGAAATAGAAAAGGCCGAAACTGTTTTTTGGGATATGCCCCAGAGGGATATGGTTTCCTGGAATACTATGCTATTAGCTTATGCCCAAAACGGGCATATAGAAACAGCAAGACATATGTTTCACGAAATGCCTGCAAGAGATCTTGTCACCTGGAGCTCAATGTTGGTGGCACTTGCCGAGAGTGGTAATTCAGGAGAAGCTAAAGCATTTTTTGATAAAATGCCGCAAAGAGACTTGGTGACTTGGAACTGTCTCCTTGCAATGTATGTACAAGCCGGGAATTTTGACAAGGCCAAGCAAATGTTTGATGAGATGCCGCAGATAAACATGGTGACATCTACGTCGATGCTGGAAGCATACGCTCAAAAGGGCGATTTGGAAGGAGCGAAGTTTACATTTGACCAGATGCCTCAACAAGACGTGATCTCCCTTTCATGCATGCTAAATGCCTACTCTTTGCATGGACACCTAGAGGAGGCCAAAGCTTTGTTTGATCAGATGCCACAGTTCACTCTCATCTCATGCAACATCATGCTGGCAGCGTACAACCAAGCTCAAAACCTTGAAAGCTCCATCAAGATGTTCATGGAAATGCCGGAAAGAGACTTGGCAACCTGGAACTCGATGCTTGGAGCATACGCCCAGAATGGCCAAATCTACAAGTCTAGCCGTGTGTTTGAGACAATGCCTCACCACGGTGGCGTGTCTTGGAGCACAATGCTAGCAGCTTACTGCCACAATGGCCAGTCTATGAGAGTGTTTGAGGCTTTCGACTCAATGCAGCTCGTAAGCCCTCCGGATGAGACATGTTTCGTTTCGTACTTGGTTGCTTCCAGCCATGAGGGAAAGCTCTCCAGTGGAAGAGCCTGCTTTCTCTCAATTTCTCTGGATCACGGAATGGATTGCATCAAGCAGCATTACTGCTGCATGGTTGCGCTATTGGCGAGGACTGGTTACTTGGTGGAAGCCAAGAATTTGATCCTCAACATGCCGTTTAAGGCCGATGTTGTAGATTGGATGTGTTTGCTCGGGGCCTGCCGAAGCCACAATGATATCAAGCTTGGAATGCACGCAGCTGGATGCATTCTTAGCTCCAACTCAAGCAACACAGCAGGTTATGTTTTGCTCGCAAACATTCAAGGCACTTGAGAGTAGCCCAGTTTTATCAATGTCGTTAAGACTTCTTAATCGAGTTCTTATAAAGCGCACAGGCCTTAAAAGGTTCCAGATATGAAACTTTCTCCTAATGTTTGCTGATTATTCCTAGGCCTGCCCATCCATCATTTACAGTTACGAACACTACAATGGATTTTCTTCTCGTATGACGGCTGGGCAAGCTGAGTAAGAATTTCTTTGATTCTAAATTTCCTAGATTCTAATTATTTATCTTTAGTTAGAACTCCCAGGAGCTGTATCGGTTCAGCCTGGCAGTCAAGCAAAATTGCTGACAACAAGAATCTGGGATTTCATAAAAGAGTTCGGATTCACTGTTTGGTTCATTTTCTCCCACACTATGGGAAGACCAAATCATCGGAGTAATAGATGATGGCATCTGGCCTGAATCCGAAAGGTTTAGGGACGATGGGTATCGGATGTTCCGACAAGAGTTTCAACACATCACACTGCATCGTATATTCATAAATGTTACTTCAGATTATTGGTGCAAAGTATATTTACCAGAGATCACCTGGTTTTCTCTCTGCTAGAGATAGCGTGGAACTCACGGACTTTAGTTGGAAATGCCAACTTTTTGGTTGGGAATTTGCTTCTGGAGGTGCACTGACAAAGTTTGCTGGGCACGGGACTGCAATACCGCTGATATTGTGGTTGGGATTGATAGTGCGATTGATGATGGTGTTGATATCACTTCAATGTCAATGGGGGTTGTTTACATACATGTTGTTGCAAGTAGGTCAAAATACATACCTACTTGAAACCCTATCGTGAAAAGGACTACTTTAGGGGATCGCTAAGGATGTTGTGACGAGTGTTGGAAGTCATGACCTGGATAATGTCCTGTGGTTGTAAAGAGCTCATATGGTGTCCTTGGGTGGAGGAAACTTGTGGACCAAATTGAGCTGCTGCTAGAACAAAGCCATTGCAACCTCCACCTTTCCCATATAGAGAAATCACAAGCTTTTGTTGTCCATGAATACTGTCTAGTTGCTATGTACTGGTGGACAGTTTGCAAGAGGTGCTAGAGAGTTGTCAGCCAGAGTGTGAGTAGAAGTGACTGTCAGAGATGTTGCTTCTATGTTACTTGTTGCACTCACAAGGTCACATGATGAAGTATATGTGCCGTGGAGGAAATGAAAGGTAAGCACAATATTACAAATAGGTTGGTGGATAGAGGCTCTAAAAGATGTTGAAAGATTGCAAGCTATGTCTCCAATAATGTGATGGCTGGCAATTCTCATTCATGTGTGGGACTCGAGAATCCATCTAATGGCCCACAGTTGCAGCTCCAAGAGCATGTCTATGTCCTCCAAAAGCTTGATTGTGCAAGGTTGAGTAAGAATGACAGTTGGAGATTTTGAATCTAACTTTGTCTCAATTGGAATCTCCATCAAGATGTGAAGCATGGTTGTGATGGTTGTGGTCCCAAGAGATGCCAATAAAAATGCTTTATTATATGGATTATCTATTGGTGCCTAGAGCAATTGTATCTACTTCAGATGCAAAGGGGTCAAAGAAAGTTCTTCGTGAAAAATTATAAATAGAGTTGTCATTATTGTGGCGAGTTTGGACACTACAAGGTTAATATTCCACAGTTAAAAAACAAGTAGCAAGACAAAAAAAATGGCCAATCTTTTACTGACAGTAAGTCAAATATTAAAAAGTTGCAAACTTTGTAGTGGGGATGATTATTCCAATTAGAGGAAGAGGTTTTTGATCATTGCTCGTCAACTCAATTATATGTGGAATAAGATGGAGCAAAAACACTTGTGAATCAGCTCTAATGCTGGAGTGTATGTTCTGTGGCTGTCTAATGTGAATTTTATTGGATAGTAGGAGCAATAACAACTTTGTTTTGACAAAGTTTAATGAAGAGCATGGCATGGTAACACCCATATACAGTGGAAGGTGCAATTACTTCTGCTCAACATTTCAATACTTGTGTAGAGGGGTTGGAAGTGTTGGTTGACAAAACCATCTTTTTAGAAATTTTTTATCTCACGAATATCCATTATATGGATTTCATTCTTGGAATGCGATAGTTAGTGAAGGTGGATTTAGAGATAAAGTGAGCATGTCTCACTGAAGTACAATGGCGTTAAAGATATATGGTTTGAAGAGGGAGTTTAACTTTAAATTGTTATGCTCTTCATTACATTTTTTAAGCGAGTTTGTTGTAATGTTTTCCGATGTTTTTCTATTTGAACTTCCTCATGTTGCCTCCATAGAGCATGGGATTACATTGGAGCTGGGAACACAAGCAATTTATCAATATCCATTCTATTTGAGTTATGTAGAGGAATAAGAAGTTCAATAATAAGTCAAAGAATTACTTGAGTTTGGATTTATTCAGCCAATTAAGTTTTCATTTGGTACTCCAATCTTGCTTATGAAGAAGAAGGATAGTTCAATGTGGATGTGCATAATACTAATGATACCATTCATTCTAAATAAACATCCAAAGAAAGTACAAAACCCAAAGTGCATTTGGATGTTTATCTAGAATGAATGGTATTATTAGTATCAGTTTTATTATTCTTAAGAAACATGGTTGCAATTCTTCTCCCTAGACACAGTCAAGCTATTCTTTCCTATAAGAGTAAATAAGCAATTGGCTTCTAACATAGTATTACATTTATGCCCACCACAAAACAAATAACATGGGGTTTAGATTCTCTTTTATCCACTTTATTTACACTATAAGAGCACAAGAAAATAGCGAAAGAGAAATATTTATATCATTTTGTGTTCTCCTATAAATAATTTGATTTGTGTGGACTTTTAGAATGCTAAAAAACACTCGAGAACGTGAAGGTGGTGATAAATTACTCATTGAACATATGCTCTCCAATCTGAATTTTTAACCACTTTAACTTTTGTATATATTTTTTTATAATAAAATTCAAGGGAAGTCAAGTAGCATGATTGTTGGAATGAGGGTTTAGGCTTTCTCCATAGTTAAGGAATTTTAACCAGATAATAAAATTTAGTTTTTTAAATTTCATATAGAAAAAGAGAAATTCTAATAGTTCCAAGACACAAAAGTTATATCACTCTCCTAAAGAAGGACAAATTATAGTTGATTTAATGAGTTTTGGTTATTCTTATATAATTTACTCTTTAATTTGTTGATTTATATACAAATAAAAGTTTCTCATTGTTACAAAATAGTATATATTTTTGTTATTTATATTAGACTAAAATATAAAGATGTAAATATGTAAAATTTGATTGATATAGAGCTAGTTTACTTTTTCCTGTGGTTGTGTTTATCCCGTGGATAGAGCTGATGCTTGTATTATAGCTGAATAAAATAAATTTAATTAAGAAAAATCTAAATTTTTAGCCACTTTAACTTTTGCATTTATTTATTTTCATAATAAAATTTAAGGGAAGTTAAGAGGTATGAATGATATAATGGCTTTTTCCATAGTTAATAAATTTTTACTATATCCTTTAGATAATAAAATTAAGTTTTTAAAATTTAAGAAAAAAGGATTGCTATCGACACTAGAAATTTCAGCAATTCCAATACAAAAAAGTTATATCATTCTCTTAAAGAATGACAAACTATGGATGATTTAATGAATTTTAATTATTCTTACACATAATTAACACTTTAATCTATTGATTTATATAAAAAGACAAAGTTTGTCATGATTGTAAAATAGTATATATTTTTTTATTTAGATTGGAATAAAATGTAAAAATGTAAAGATGTAAAATTGAACTAACACAAAGCTAATTTACTTTTTCTTGTGGTTATGGTTATCCTGTGGATAGAGCTAATACCTGTATTACAGTTGAATAAAGTAAATTTAATTAAAAAAAAGCTTAATAAACAAAACTTTAAATTTTTGGCCACTTTAACTTTTGTATCTATTTTTTTCATAATAAATTTCAAAAGAAGTCAAATAATATGACTGCTAAAATGAGGGTTTAAGCTTTTTCTATAGTTAAGGAATTTTTACTATAACCTTAATAAAGTTTAATTTTTAAAATTGCATAAACTAAGAGTTGTTATTAATATTAAAAATTTCAGTAGTTCCAAGACACAAAGTTATGACACTCTTCTAAAGAAAGATAAGTTATAGCTAATTTAATGAGTTTTAGTTATTTTTACATATAATTGATTCTTTAATTTGTTGATTTATGTAAAAAGATAAAGTTTTCTATAGTTGCAAAATAGTATATATTTTTGTTATTTAGATTGGAATAAAATATAAAGATGTAAAGATGTAAAATTAAACTTATTCAGAGTTAATTTATATTTTCCTATGGTTGTGGTTATCCCGTGGATAATGCATATATTACATTAATAAGGAAAATTTAATAAAGAAAAAGCTTACCTCAAAAAAATTTGTATTTTCTTATAAACTAAATGATTCGAAATACCAAAAATTGGTGCCAACCAATTTTCAACTGATTCAATGAGATAAACCATGTAGTATCTCAGAAGATGGGCTCCCCACACAGATTTCCCGTCATGCTACTGCTGCTCGTTGACGATGTCTAGAGCTTGGAGCTCGAGTGCCAGCTATAAATGGTGTGCTCTCCAACTTGTGTGGACAGCATGTGAACGCTGAACCGCTCTTGGTTGCCTCTCATCTCCAACTTGATCTGACCATACGTATTAGCCAGCTCGGGAGAGTTGTTGCTGCGGTTGCAAAAGGTGAGAACCGGGAGCTCAAGTTGGAATCTGGTGCCGGGTTGCAAATGGCCACTTGCAACCGCCATCGGTTGTCCGCCCAGTGCAAGCCCTCGGACAAGACAGCATCTCTGTGAAAGCCACACACCATGCCAGAGCACGAGGCCATGGGAATGAAGTGCCACGGCAACAACCTGTTTACCACAATGCCTACCAGCTGCTCGTCTGGGTACCAGGCCAGCACCGGTGGCCATGACAATTCCCCAAACTGTGTCATGAGTAAGAGCACGCACTCCTTCCCCTAGCTGAGATGTCCAGCTCTGGG